AGGAAGCCAAAGATTCGGGTTAGATCTTGTTTAATCCAAACTAGGATATTCATCCCTGACAAAATGTTGACCATGGCTATTCTCTTGGCCCCATGTCTGTTCTCTCCCCACCCTGATTTCTTGGAAGTCACTGTGCTCTGGCTCTTCAATTAGAGACGGATAACTGATGCATTGCACACTGGAAAAAGCTTATCACGCTGCATTATTTGTTCCATCACTGGAGCCCTATCACCACTGTGAAATCTATTTCTTCAAGTTTGAAAGGGACTTGGATAAACCACCTGGCCATCCCATCTGGGGCTGTGAACTGTCTGATCCAGGCAGTTTGCCACAGACCCGTGAAAATGGCATTGATGGAGTGTCTCTGGTACATATTTTGGAGAAAGGGTTTGTGCACATGAGCTGGCAGAGGCTGAGCAGCATTTTGGAGGATCATCCGTACTGCAGCTGGGAGCTTAGGCCTGAGTTTCTGCCCTTTTAGGGGATCCCTCAGTTTATGTGTATGGATAGGGTGAGAAAAAATGTTTTTAGGCTGTAAAAATGGAGGGATGAGGTAGCAGTGCTAGTCCTGGGCTGCTGGAGCATATCACCTCAGGGTACTATTCTGGGGAATCCAAGAGGTGGTAGAGAGTAGACTGAGAGACCTCAGCCCCACCTCTCATATTATATTGGAAAGAAAATTCCAGAGTCTATCAAGGCAAGAGGATTTCCTGACTGATGGAAAAGTCAGAGCTAGGGAGAATTCACACCTTTCTGGAAAGTCATCTGCACTGGGTGAGGGCAGAAGCCATGTAATGGAGCAGGATTTGCCCCACTCTCATTCTCCACAGCTAGTGGGATAGATTCCTATAACCAGTTTGGGAAACACCTATAAAACACACTTCTCTGCTATGCTCCTCAGGGAGCTGGTGTGACTGCAAACCACACACAGCTTGGGTGTCACAAGCCAAACTGCACAAAGCACTCACTGCACCACCACTGTCTGCAGAGCTCAGTGGATGTGGGTTACAGGAGAACAAAATGTTTAACCATGGAGAAGGGGATGCATGGGCAGTGACTGTAAGCCCTTTCTGGGTGACAAACACCTGGAGAGCCCCATGAATCTGTCTTCCCCTTGGTGGCTCACTCTGGAGCCTCTCCTGGGGAGGAGGGTGGTGGGTTTTGCCTGGATCCCTGTTACTGACCAAAACTGCCACAGAAAAAGGAGAAGAACACGGAAGTTTTCAATGAAAATACTTAATTAGTCCCTGTGAGTTTGCAGTGGTCAGTACAGACATGGGAAGAGGCTTCAAAGGTGCCAAGGTGAGGTCTGAGGGCTCTGCCTGAGGCTGCTATAGCAGTGAGCCAAAGGGCAGCACAGTGCTGGGTGTTCTTCCTTGGCACCAGACAGAGGAGACTTCATCCCTGTGCTGATGCAGGAGTGCTGGGAGTTCCTGCCAGACCAAGGGGCTGGGCAGCCCTATGAGGGCAGCACAAGGAGTGTACCCAGGGAGCAATGAGCCCAGAGAGCTATAGTGGGCTGGGAATTTGGCGCTGGTCCATATGTCATGGTGACCCTCATCCCTTCAGCTGTGGTCTGTCTCTTTTACTACCTCAGTGGAGATTTGCTTGTGAAACTGCAGGGGCAGATTATCTCTGTGTCTGGTATGGAGGAATTATCACTGCAAACAGGATTAGCTGTAAGTGAAGGGGCCATAAATGTTTAATTACAGATCCAAGTCTGTCTCTTGAAACAGTAGTCTTCAATTTCACATACTAACCTCACCAATAACTTGCTTGTCAATATGAAAAACATGGTTATAAGAATGAGTCCTCTCTCTCATGGAGCAGTTTGTGCCTGCAGACAAGGTGGGAAGCAGCTTTCATTTAACAGTTTTTGCATTTTAGCTGATATCTCATTACCTGACATTAACAGATTCATGTGCTTCACTTCATCTTAGGTTCCTTAATTAATTCTTTAATTAATAATTGATTAAGGAAATAATAAAATTAATAATTTCCTTAATTAATTCCTCAATTAACAGATTGAGGCATATCCTGCTGCTAGAGACCAACAGGACAAATGTAGTGGCAGCTGTGTGTGACTTCAGCTGGCAAAGGCTGGAAGGGTGATGTTAGGTGTGCAAATGCATAGCAAAGAGTAGGGAAGGAGTCAGATTTTATTTTCTCTGTCATCACACCTGCAACCCACACCAGCCTTGCACCTAAAAGCAAACCCAAACCTTTTAGGTCAGTTCTTTTCTCATCTCCAGATCAGGAAGATCTGTTCTTCTCTGCATAAAGAATTTTCAGTGTTTTAGTCTAGCAGAAAGTTAATTCAAAGCTCTGCTATTTTGATGTCCTATTATTTTAGATTCAGGCCACATGTTTGAATGAGCATATTTGATCATTTGGAGATCAAGAATAGAGCATGAGGATCAATTCTTCCATTGTTTTTCTACTTCTGCGTCCAAAATTTCTGCCATTAGACAATGATTTTGTGGGACAACTATTCCTCGCTGAAGGCACAGAGCAGAATAATGGGCAGCAAATATTTCTTCATACAGAATTCTATTCAAAAGATTGGAAATAAAAGAGAAAAGTCTAAACTCTGCTATTAATTTGGACATTAAAAATGTGTGTAGCATCAAAGCACAAAAGCAGTGATGGGCAGGGACCAGGTGGACTCCATTAGTGAGGAAGGAAGAGAAGGAATCTTTCTTCCTCCTAATAGCTGCCAAGAAACATGCTTGTTTCAGCTTTTGCATGAAATGATAGATGGTGGCTTTGAAGCCCAAACCTCTTTGGTTTTATTCCTTCTTCTTCTGGGACATGGGTGCTGTGGAAGTTCATTATTCACATTGGAAACATTTGTCACAGGAATCTCTTGGAACAGACTTTGGAAAGCTATGAAAGCCCTAATGTCAGCCGAAAACATTAGTCCTGTCCCAGCACTTGCTGAATCAAATTATTAAATGCCAAGATAAATTAATGTTTGTCTCTTAGTCATTCCCAATTTTACAGAATCCAGGATTTTCCAACTCCCTTCCTACCAAGAAAGTCCTCTCTACTTGAGAAAGAAATCCCACTTTGGTGGCAGCAGCTGCAGAATCTGAAACTGTTTTTTCTGAAGTCTTGCTTCACTCTCCAGAAAATTCCCCTCCACCTCTGTTTGCCTGGGGAAATAACCAGAATATTTGAATATTTTTTTTAAAAAATCAGGATTTTCAGTAGTCATAAAGCATAGGCTAATGAGCCTCTTCTGCAAGATTGTTCAGTTAATTAATATTTATATACTGCAACAAGGCTCAAAAGCTAATCTATGAAGTGTTATTTAATAATTCTGAATATCTGCCTTGGGAATCCGAGATTGAAATTCACTGCAATTGAATTAAGGTTCAATTAAAGATTCCTGCCTTTAATCTTTAACATAGGAGCAATAAACACAACAAAAACAAGAAGATGAAGCTCCGCCTGGCAAGCCTGTGGGATGAGAAAACCCATAGCCACCTCTGTTCCTGGCAGTGGAGAGTGTCACTGAGACAACTTGGTTATGTTTGTCCTTGGGGGCAAGCACTGAGCCCACAGGAGCTGAGGGTTCTGCTCCTGTGCCACATTTGGCCGGTGGAGAATGAGAAAAAGGGAAGACCAGCCCTTGGGTGCCTCCAGTAGTCTGCAGCACTCTCTCAGACCCCTCGTGTCCATGCTAGCATTGCCTTTGGGGGAAGTGGTGCAGGCCCACCCTCCTCTCTGTGCACTGTTGAGTAGGAAATGACCATGGCAAGTGGTGGGGTCCTGGCCAAGACTGACACTCCTTGTGCTTGTGACACCAGCAAACAGCCCCTAGCTGCCAAGGGCTCACACCTCTCACTCCTCTCCAGCCAGCCTCTCTCCCGTGGTCTCCCACACAAGGAACCAGAATATGGCACAGAGAATCCTTTCTCACTATCATGCAAATACTTTCTTACCACATTGCAGAGCTAGGGATCATTCCTGGGACTAACCCCTTCTTCAGTAATGCTTCAGCCATGTTCTGGTGAAGACTTGCTCAGAGACCAGGACTTGCTTTTGGGGAGGTTGGGTGTGCTTGTGGATGTGTGTACAGAGCTGCATCCTGCAGTTATGGCTTTCTAGAGAATACTAGTGGGTGGTTCAAAAAGTAAAATAAGGATATTATTATTATACACATATAATTTGATTCTTTTAGTTGGGAATAAACCCCTGGCAAATTTATATTTACTTAGCAGTGAAAACATAAAACTTGGTTTGGCAATTACATTTAGGAAAACATTAGGAACTCAAGGGAGAAAATATTGCTTGGCCAGGTATGTTGAACTAATGCTGAGAAATGGGGCTCTGTGAATCTGAATTCAATCCAGTTTTTTAAAGCTACTTCCCCGGTCTCCTTCCACTGTTGGCCAACTGACAGAAATTCAATATTTTTCTCCTAGTGAATGAAAAGCATAGTCAGAAACAGCCATTGGGTCAGGTTCATATGCAAAAGCTCCTCTTGTGCTTTTGTTTCCTAATTGCTTTTGGAAGGATTTTTCAGCCTGGGCTGACGCAGTTGTGTGTGTGAATTTCCTGGCAAATAAGAAAGGTGACTGTGTCCAAAAGACATTTAAGAGTGCGAATTCACAGCCTTTCCATGTCTAATCAAGGAGCGTAAGCCATTAGCCACATGTTCCCCATTTCCAACACATTTTTTCACACTTAAACAAAAACATGCCAAAGGAAAGGTGCTACATTTTTTAATGCCCCCAAATAGGAACCACAGGAGCCCATTAAATGCTGTGGTCATTTCCAGCATACAAATCAATTTTCCTTGTGGTGGTGAAGTGGTGAATAATGCCTGGTTTGTTTAAAGGAGCATGACTGATTTTGGATGAAGGATCCTGTCACTTCGGCATTTTTAGTTTTATTTATTGCATGCAAGCGTATAAAACCTGGTACTGGTCTCAGTGCCAGGCTTACTAGTGGAAAAGCTGAAAGGACCACATAACGTCTGGTGCAGCAAAGAGGTTCTCCTCCTGCAAGGCATTTGCTGGACTCCTGAAAATTTATTTTGATTAACATGGCAGAGAAGGATTTCATCAGTTGGCATCTACTGGCTTTATTTTTTCTTCCATTTTGCCTGTGTCAAGATGAATACATGGAGGTGAGCAGAAGATCTTATAAACCAGTGGCCAAAATATTGCAAAGTCACCACCAGACTGGTCACAAAGGTTCCAGAAGCAGGGAAATATTGAAACAGCGGAATCAACTAATAGAGTGGACTGTTGATAATAGCACATCTACAGACCATAAAGTCCTGAGACCAGAGGTAGATGATGTAGAACTGACTACCTCAGATAGAGTCCAGGTACTCTGAATTAATCTTCTAAAGATATATTTAAAGCTAATGAGATATTTTATTTTTTTTTTGCTAACATTATTAGTGATATATTTATGAAATAATTTTTATTAAAGTTGTGTATTGGTCTGTATCCTGCTGGGCTAATTTATAGGATCTTTTAATGAGCTGGTAGAACCAGCAGTGGTTGGGGACACAGGTAGCAGTACTTATTTCTTTTGAAACTGTGAACTTGTGAAATCATATATTCTGAAATGCAGTCTCTTAATTATCCCAAGGTATTAATTATTTACTGTATCAAAGTTTAAATATTGCTAACTCATTTGGATGTGAAGGAAAATGACAGCATTTCTAGAGGTATTTGGAGAGATTCAATCATCACAGAATAATTTTACTTTAAAATGATGTATATAAAGTATATTTCTTGAGCTTGAGACAAACAATGAAATTCTGAACGTTCAAAAATGTTATTCTAAGGAGTAGCTTGAAAAAAACCCCAGATAGTAATGTAATGAGTAGATTTAATAATATAAAGCAGTGGAGAGTTGAAGAAGAAAAAAGGCTTGCAATGAAACTCTAAATCATCTGCAGTATCTACATTTTAAACTGAGAATCTTTTTATGCCTTTCCTGGCACTTTACATACTACAGTCATTAGTTTGTAACACAGGTAAAATGGCATAACTTGGTTATACACAAAATATTGCAGTCCAAATTTGAAAGAAAAAGATCTGAAGGGCAGAAGATGAAGCTTTTTCTAGCACTAGGCAAAATAAAACTCCTCTCAAATGAAGGGTTTTTTTTTGATTGATGTGTTTTAGTAACAGCAAGAACATGACTACTTTTTTCTATAGCTGATACAAATATTTGAGTCCTGTATAGTTTACCTTTTACCATCTGGGGTTTAGAAATTTTTTCAGATCAAAATATTATATTTTGAATTGCCAAAATCAAGTACACGTGGATAAGTGTTGAATAATAACCTATGTTATGATAAGCAGAGAAGAGGTTTGATTTTAATCCTGTCCTGGGCTTGAATAACTAAAATGCATACGGGAATGGGTTTAAGACACCACTGTATTCCCTGTATTAAAACTTTACAGTGCTTTGCATTTTGTATTTCTTGGGCAGCAGTTAAATGTTTCTCCAGTGCATCCAGTGAAAGAGATTTTTAATTGTAGGCATGTTAAACTGTGCTTGCAGATATAAGCAGTGTAAAACATAAGGTATGTAGAGCCTAAAGTGCCAGCCAGTGTGTGCAGACCTCTTTACTGCAGGGAGAATTCTGCAGCTGTGTGCTGCAGACCACATACAAAAGATTCTCCTTGAACACTACACAATTTCAGATAATGCAGGATAATGAAAAAACCACAACTTTTTAGGGCTCAAGCTCTCCCTCACAGGAAGTGTCACTGTGTTCAGGCTGCATGCGTCTCTCACCTGAAAGTTTAAAGCAACTTGTCTGGAACTGCCTGCTGGGGGAACTGGTTGTGACAATAAAAACGAGCCCAGCAAGTCTGAGTACAGCTGATGGCAGTGATTTACCTGCCAACCCATCTCCAAGAAGCAATCTCTTCTGGGGAAATGATGCAATTTTTGGCTTACTGAAATTAAATGGAGCACTAGCAGATGCATGACAGGGATAATCAATCACACAGTAGCTTACGCAATACATGTTTTCCACTTCCAGACTCCAGGAATTTCTAGGCAGAGGGAAGAACAAAGGTGGTGCCGACATTTTTAATTCATGTCAAATCTCTCTCTTTCCCTTGAGTTATATGGAAACTATTCAATTCCTATGTTCCTGCTTTCATGGTTGTTTTAGATGGAACAGCTCTACCCAGCTAAAGAGAATTTAGGCTGGGGAATTTCACCCTCTTGCTGAAGTTTTAAAGGTCCCATTCCCTGTTGTGGAAAAGAGATGATAGTATTTGCCTTTACCATTGTCTTTGCTGCACTGGGTGCAAGGCCAGTATGCACACAGCTGTTAACTCATGTAAAATATAACATGCATTTCTCAAGAACAAGAGCTCTTGGTGACTAAAGAGAGTGACAACAGACTATTTTTCCATTTCAGGCTGCTCTTTGAAAATCTTTAAACATTGCTTGCTAAACAGTGTTTTACCCCTAATTTTGGCAACTTTTGTTTGTTTCTTTGCTTGGAGAAGAGGCATGGAGGGCCTTAGTGGCCACAGAGACAGACTACTTTTCATTCAGAACAGAAGCCAAAAATGGTGGAGGTAATTACTTGTCTTCTGCATTGTTTTAGACAATAAAACAGAAACTCATAAAATTAACCAGGAAGTCAAAAATGGCTGGGTCTCCAATTATGACTCGTTCACAGCTTTAAATTAGGGGAATTTTATAGATCATCTGTTGCCTAGATCATTCTCCTACATACTGAATCATGGGAAATTCAGCAAATAGCTCAGAAATAGTTCCAGTTTACTATCAGTGTTAGGAAATCAATGTGGCAGATGCATTTCACACGCTCCTAAATCATATTAATGTTCTGGCAGCAAAGCCAAAGATTCACTGACAAAATTTATGCACAAATGGCTGCAAAAGATGCCTTTGGCAAGCAGATTGCAGCTAATCTCTATGTCACGTTTGAGTGCAATTTTACTTTAGGAACACATTTTTCCTTTAAATGTACTCTTCAGGAAGTTCTCTGCTTTCAAAGATTGAAAGAAAATCCTAAATATTCATTGTCCTTAGCAGCTGACCATGAATATTTTTTTCTCCTAGTGAAAGAATCAGTAAAGGTAATAAACTAATTACTTTATGACTTGCATAAAAAGCCATTTTGAAATCAGTGGAACTGTTGCATACAACCAGACTGGCAGGACTTGCCTTATTTCACACTAAGAACCTGATGAGCTTTTTTTGAGGTAATGCCGAATAGCACTTGGTTATGATGATGGCTTGTATCTATTTTATTTTAAAATAGCTGTCTCTCTAAAAAAGTTGTTCAACATTTCAATGCATTGTCTGAAAAAGACAAATTGCATCTGCACAGAGAGTCTCACATGCAGTCCACTTTGCTGGATTCATATCTTCCCTCAGTTACAATACACTGTTCTAAGTCTTTGGTTATTTTCAGACTGATATGACTTGTTTACTCTTGGCAGGTGTGTATAGTTCACCTTCCTATTTAACATGAATATGAAGCACTATTATCTAAAAAAAGCTGGAGACTTTAATCTTAATGCAAAAAACAACATTATCCTTTTAGGGGGTGCAAAATGCTTGCACAATTCCAGTCCTCTTGTACTTGGTTCCCTTTCAAGGACTGAAAATGAGCTGAAAGCACAGCTACTCCTTCTCTCATACTAGGAAAATTATAAAAAGTGTATTGGGTGATTGTCAGTTATGTCCTGCCTAACAACTGGAAGAGACAAAACAGCCAGAAAAATACAAACAGGTTCTCCAGGAAGAGACAGTTCAACAGGCAGAATTTTTCTCATTAAGTACAGACCTTGTCCAGAATTAATCTAAAAAGCATCACTTTGACAAAACTCCATAAATATGAAGCCCTTGTGCCCATTGGCAAGTTTTAACTTTTCCATAACTCTTTGAAAGTGAAAGATATTTGTTTAGCTGTCAAGTCATTCTTTATTCCCATGGTAACCACCATCACTGGTTCCAGCTGGACAGGGCCTGCGTCTGTCTTGTTGGAGGAGTTGCAGCATTTTGGCAGTGGCATGAAATGGATTTTTTATATCTGTAAGTTCCTAAGCCTCCTGAAATCAATGAATTCTGGGGGTATACTTGGTATTGTCCAAAACACAGGGAAAGTTTCAGATGACATCACTGATGAGACCAAGGGCAGGAAAACAGCACATCTGTGTGTTCATTTGACAGCTCCCATTGTGCCAGAGGCTCATTTTCTGCTACTAACCCCATAAGTCTGCATTGGGCAAGTAATTTGGCAATGGTAAAGATTAGGGAAAAGAAGGGGAAGGAAGGCAAATAGCAGAATAATTAAAAAGAAAAAACAGTAGTAATTTGATTGGTGTAACTATCCCTCTCCAAATTTTAAGAACTGCAGTTTTGCATCTCAGGATGCATCTCAGGAGAGAAGTGTAAGGGAAAAGAAACAAAGAGGGAACAAATGAGGGGGTAGAGGAATAAAATCCAACGCTGGACCGTGGTCTTATCTGACATACTGGAAGATCTATGATTACTAAGTAATGAAATTTAGTCAGAATTGAATGAGTCTCCATTAGTATAAACACAATATTATGAAAAAGAAAACCACTTAAACTAAGTCATTATTAAACTGATTGCTATAGTAGCTGAGCTGTACATAATAAACTCATTATTTTATTTATGCTGCTATAAATATAAATAATAATTAAATAATAATTAATTAGCACATTGGTTTTCATAGTTACACATTCACCACTACAAATGATCAAAAGCCCCATACACCTTGTGGTATTGTAAATTCAAATTTTTGTCTTGTGTCATGGCACTTTTTTAAGGTCCCCCAACTTTAGTAGCATGTAAATCTGGTCTGGGATCATGAAGAGGAATATACTGCACAGATATTTTTTTAATATCTTCTTTGGGTGGTCCAACACAGTTTTATTTATGTTTAATGGAGGATAGTTCATTGCTGAAGGTCAAATCAAGTCCCTTGTGTCCTACCATTTGTACACAGGTATGTTTGTCATCAAAGGTCAGTTGAAATGTGGGATCAGGATGTGAATCTAATTGAAATATTCATCTGAATTTCATTACTTGGTATTAATTTATTTTCAAAACCTCCAATTTTTCTTTAATATTCATATAGGTTCTTGAATGCTTCAAGAGCAATTCCTTTAAATCTTCCAAAAAAAACATCTTCAGGGACAACCTAACTATGTGAGAATTTCACGCCAGATAAGAACTGTTTTGAAAACTTACCAAGTATATAAACAGAAATATATAATGAAGACCCTGTAACCAACATGCATAAGATTGATGTCCTCCATGAATGAGCTACTTAAAGCTTATTTTTGTGCACTTAGCCCCCCCAGCCTGGACCGCAGAATCCAGACTGCAGTTCCTGCTGCCGAGGTGACTTTGGAGTTCGACTCTACCAAGGGCCCCCAGGACCTCCTGGGCCCCCTGGGATGCCAGGTAAAGATGAAGTTTAATTCACTTTTTGATCAGTCTACTTGCAGGCCATAAATTACAGGTTATTCTATGAAATATCAGAGAGTGGTCCAAACACCAGTATTTGGGGACAGATTCAGGAACAAGTTTTTCTATAATTTCAGAGGAGACAGATATTTTCAGTTATATTCTAAGGTATTTTCCATTGAAAACCTATTTGTTATTAAAATTCTGCTTTCACAAATTCATATTGAAAGTAATGAAACTACATCTCTAGGGAAAATTGGTCTCTTAAAACAGCATGAAGTTCCCAATAAACTTGGAAGAACTTGTTCCCTGGAGCTGATTATTGTGATCACCTTTGTATATCCAGCTGTGTTACTGTGTACTGTATTCAAGGGCTTTTCTTCGTCGAGCATACTGCTAGCCAATATTTTACAGAAACACAGATGCTTCTGTTCTCTCACTGAAATTCCTTCACTTCCTTCTTTCATCTTGTCTTTCATAATAAAAAAATCCTTTTTTTTTTAAAACATCAAAAATGTGCAGAGAAGAACAGCATACACAAGAAAAGTATATACTTTGATCTGATAGTTGATATGATATGGAAATAGAAGAGCCTAGAGAAGGGAAAGTGTTGGTCGCATGCTGGTGTAAATTTGTTACAGCAGCTACCCTCAGGGATTTGCAAATCACCATTCCTAAAATAGAGGTACAACATAAATGAACAGGTCACTGAAAGAAAGACTTGTCTCTTCTTCAAAAGCTTACATCTTCTGTTATCACAATAAAAATGCAATTCAGTGATCCATTACTTATTAATAAATTGTTGGATTCTTAGTAGCAGGATACAATGTTATACTAGACCCACATTTTAAAGGCTGCAGTGGACATACTGGGGAGTGGCAGAGTCACAGCTTTGCCCTTCCCTTGTGTCTTAGTCCCACTTCTGTCACTGTAGGATACCACAAATATATGTCTGGCAGCAGCCTTCTGCACCCTGGGATTTCTGTCTCCTTCATTTGCTGGATTTCATGTTGTTGTGCCTGTAAGGGGAACAGCAGCAGTTGTTTTTCCCCTTGATTGAATCAAATGTTGCTTGCAAGCTTCTGTTCTGAACTGGTAGAGCAGTTCTGGCTGCATATAAAGGATCATTCTTGTTATTTTTAAGAGCTGCAGATTCCTCTAGCCAAATAAAAATGGGCATAATTTCTTCCACCATTTGGCTTCCCTATTTGAAATCTTTTTTTTTCCTTAATAGAAAAACTCTGAAGAATCATTTCATCATCAGATTTGATCTCAAACAACATTATTCTTCTTGTAAATTTGTAACCAGAGAGAATGATCAAAGAATAAGAAGAGTGGCAAATAACCAAATTTCAATTCAGGTAGAATTAGAACAATGATGACTTTAATTAATCCCCTGAGCTCAAAGATCAGCCTTTTGCTGCAGGAGGCATAGTAATTGCTCAGTGATTCTAGCCAGCTTTAAAATCCTGTCAGCTGCATAGCCATTTGCTCAGTAATTTAGTCAGTAAACACCAGGAAGTAAGTAATACTGCAAATGCATGAGTATGTTTTGTAATGAGTCTTTTTACTCATTTACTCATAGTAAGCCATCTCAAAAAAGCTAATTATAAAATTTTTGTCTCTCATTTAATCTAGGAATATGCAATCAAACGACCCCTAACCAGCACCCTGTGAATGCACACTGTCCTGTTTTTAGCACAGATTTTAGCAACCTTAATGCTACAGCCATTCATCATTTGTGTGGATGTGTTTCAAAGATAGCAAAATCTTATTCAAAATTATCTTACCCTTTCATGATTGACTTAATTTACCAGGAAATTGGTTTTTTTACACTAAAGCAAAGACTACTTCTATACAAAAGCAAGAGCACTTCTGCAAGCTACCTAGTACCTGTCAATAGAAAGTGGCTTGTGCTTTTCTTGAGCTTTCTGTCTGCTGAGGTCTTCTTGCACATCTCCCCAACAAAGCAATGACTTGAAACACCACCATTTTATACAGCAAAACCAAGGCAACATGAGGGTTAACTCCCAAGATCTATGTCCTTTTGGAAACTTGCTCACCAAAACCATCAACCTGACCAAACAGCAGTTTCTTACCCATTACAGCTCAGCTTGGGGTTTATGGCACTGGAGAGTACCCATGCGGCAAGCTGGTGGAAGAGGACCCTGTCACACTTATCTGTTAAAATACAATAAATTATTTAAATAAAACAGAAAACCTTGTTTCCCTTCAGGAAATCATGGAAACAATGGAAATAATGGAGCAACTGGCCAGGAAGGAGCCAAAGGTGAGAAAGGAGACAAAGGAGATATGGGACCAAGAGGAGAGCGTGGCCATCATGGACCCAAAGGCGAGAAGGGTTACCCTGGGATTCCCCCAGAGCTACAGGTACAACATCTCTGGGTCATATTAGCTACAGCAAATATCAGTTTATGTTTTTCTTCACTGAAAAAATAGCATCTTATTGCTGTAAGATACTTAAGAAGCAAATCTCGTTGTAAATGAATACTGTAACAGGCATATACAGCCTTTGTCCTTACTGAAAAATGTGCTCTGCCAGATCTTTCTTGAAAAGAAAAGCTTTACTCAGAATCCAGCTGAGTAAGAGGCAGGAAGAATCATATATGTTTCCCTTTGAGGGCAAAAAGCCAGAATCTGGGTTATTGAAGGAGAATAGCAGGGACTATCGTTTTCTTACCAAGCTGTATCACATAAATAATTGCACTTCCCAGAGCATACGAAAAGTAAAGGAGTCATGTTTCTCAGGGCAGCCAGGCTTTGTGAGATTCTCAGAAGTACATGTATCCAGCTCCTCAAAGTATGGGCTCAAAATTTTTGAGTGCAGTAATAGTCCTGCAGTTTCAAAAAATACCCCTCAGTAGTTATCTGTATAGTTATATGTCTAGATGCTTTAAATATGTTTGGGGCCACGTAGTTTCTGCCTGTGAATGAGTAACTCAAAAGCCAGATGAGCATTTAAATATGGGCTCAAGCCTGAGCTGCTGAGCTCAACTCTTATATTGGCACAATCTCACAGCTTTTGTATTAAAGCTTCTTCAAATCCCAGGAATCTGGTAGAGAGCTCGTGTGTGTATATATCTATATATATATAAATATATAAATATAAATACACACACACATATATATATAGATATATACACACACATACACACAGATACATATATTCATATATATGCATATACATATAGTATATGCATTTATATATCTATATAATATATACTCACAGTGTACTTGAATATCTTATAAACATATCTTTAATTACATTCAACATATGTCCTTCCACAATTTTTAAATGAGCTACCACTATTTATTTTCTTACATAAAGACTACAGTAGTAATATAATTAAATCCAAGTGATGAAAGAGGATGAGCAACAAAAGCACATATTGTAATACCTATTTCCAACTATTTCTACTTCTTTTAACAGATATGCTTTAAAATGTTTACAGTATAGCATATTATTTCTTACCAACATACTTAAAAATTTTCAAGTAATTGGTGGTATAGGAGAAAACACTTTTGAATGCAATACTGTTCTAAGTACAAGATTATTTTAAAAACTTTGTGTATCCATGTTGACCTGCTACTTCATAATGAGACCTAAGGAGAAGAGACATGTTTTTCTGCTGTTCTGATCAGCCCACAGAAAGTAGCTCAGGGTCAAAGAGACTGTGAAATGGAATCTAGACAAAAGCAATAAATTCCATCAATCTGCCACTACAGCTGCTTTCCTTTAACACATGATGAACTTTGATGTGATCCTGGCTGAGAAGCAAGATTTTAACAATTTGCCGTCATAGAAAATGCATCCATGCAGGGGTAAGGAAAATCAGCCCAAGCTTTCAGCTCACATCTGGAACTCCTTAAATTTCTGAACAGATGGCTAACGATTTCCGTTGTTGGATCCAGACTTGCATTTGATTGTCTGTTTTGGTTTTGTTCTGGTTTGGATCTGAAATCAAAAGGAGTTTGGGCTGTTTTTTAATATTTTTAAAATACCAGCATAGCTGGAATCTCAGAAAAAATGTAATTTTTGTGATGGCCAGTAACAGCTGCAATTGAACTTGTCATTTAAGAAGCTGAGATAGAAATAAAAAGCCAAGTCTCTATGTAACCTTCTGGCAATGAGGTGCAGCAATTCTGATGCTGTCTCATTTACTCACATAATGGATGAGGGGGAATGATAGACTTACAGAAAAGGTCACTCCTTTCCCTGACCAGGCCAGCTAGCAGGGTCATTCCCTGGTATTTTGCTAAGGGTAATTTAAATTGTCTGGTGTGGGATGTTTTGCACTGCATCCTATGAAACATTTCCATGGCAAGAAGTGAAGCATGAAGTTGAAGCACAGTTTTAATTTTCTTATTTTCCCCTCCTGGTCTCCACTAGCCTCTGTTTTCAAGACTGAGAGCAACTGACAAGATAGAAAAAGCATTGAATATTGAGTCCCAGGTGCTGCACTTCCAAAGGACCTCTAATAAAAGTGCTTCATATATTCTAAGCAAGAAACACTAATCTGCATGGATTTTACCAAGCATTGTTTATTTTCACATATGCAGTTAAAAGCAATATCCAGTTTAAATGCATTGGGGAATACACAAAGACTATATAAAACCCTTTTCTCAGAAATACCATCCATTCAATACTATGTTGCTGTTGCATCATTCTAGGGAGACTTAAAAGTAAATAAAATCTGAAATTAAGGTTCTGAACTGCAAACACTTACCATACATTTATGTTACAGTCATGAATAGTCCAATTGAATATGAGAACCCTAGTCTTCCAGTTTCATTCAATGGGAGTTTTGTTAACTGAAGTTTATTGGCCTTGGAGCAAGCCCTAGAAGAACATCTCTGTCAGGAAAATAAACAGACTGCAAATACAAGAAAAAATCTGTACCTGATTGCTCTACACATGTGCTTTCTGTGAACAACTGCCTGAATAAGAACTGGATTTTTGCAGGTTGCGTTCATGGCTTCAATGGCTACTCACTTCAGCAACCAGAACAGTGGGATTATCTTCAGTAGCGTTGAAACCAATGTTGGGAATTTTTTTGATGTCATGACTGGGAGATTTGGTGCTCCAGTGAATGGTGAGCATTTGCAAAACAAAGTAATGCAATTATTGGAGCTATAGGGAGAAGTGTAGTCAATAAGGACGAGGCACTATTTAACTGCCTTTGCACTCGCTCTGCATAGCTCTTGCTACCTACTTTCCAGAAAAATGAATTGAAAACTGAGCAAGCCAAGAGAGGTCTTGCCAGCCAGTGAGATTAGTTGACACCAAGACAGGAGGAAGAGGAATGGCCTGGGCTGGGGAGGGAGCTGGACTGTCTGCTTTGCTGTGGCTCTTAGCCTTTCAGCCACTGTGATGACAGAACCATGGCCTTGATGTAGCAAGCAGCAGCAGCTTCACAGTTGTCTCCTCCACCTCCTCCCTCCTGTCATTCTCTTCATCCCCATCTTACCCCAAGCCAGTTCAGCTGTGAGCTGACCTGCAACAGATGTGTGGCTGGAAATGAGGCATTACAGTTATTCATGGGTTATTTTTCAGCTGCATCAATCCCCCCTCTTACACAGCTGTGATGCAGGAAGAACAACCCCTGCCATACGCAGAATTAGAATTAATCAGATTTTGGAACACTATAAGCAGAAGGAAAATATCTGCAGACAACTGGAAGGCAGTTTCATCCACAGCTGTTGTTTTCTAAGCAAGAAGCACAAATCTGCAGCATGATTTCTTCTTTCTATGAAGCAAACAAGTTGTATTTTATAACCTTTTCAGGTGTGTATTTCTTTACTTTCAATATGATGAAACATGAAGATGTGGAGGAAGTGTATGTGTACTTGATGCATAATGGTAATACAGTGTTCAGCTTATACAGGTAAGGACCAGGCCATCTTAATGCAAAAAACATTTGTATGGATAGGGTAGCTTGCTCATATTTCAAGAAACATAAAATTGTTGATTATTTTGAAGAAATTCTCTAGGGTAAAATAACCAACAAGAAAAACTATTTTATTTTGCCATCCTCAGCTTGCATATTTGGACTATACACATCATAGATGCTGGACCTAAAATTTAGCCTTGATCACCATTTCCTCAAACTCAAGGGAAAGGATTTAGCACTGCAAGTCAGGGCTGGAGTTCAGTGGTATCATGCTGTCATTCTGTTAAATATACCTTTATCTTCATTTTGCTTGTCAGAGAATGGAAATAATAAAGTGTTCAGTGACTAGTTACAGTCTTGTTAACATGAGGACAGAGAAATTTACTTTAAAGTTGGAAAGTGTTTAAGTTGCAGTAGTAAGGATGAGTAACATTTGCTGAGTGTAAGGATGAGTGACATTTACTGTCCTTTTTATCATTAGCACACCACCACAGGCTGCTTCATCCCCAATAGATCTTTTCTGCAAAAGAAAAAGTGTTTCGTTTCTATTCCCCCTGAAGCACTGATGTCCAAAAAGGCCAGAGGTAGAAGAAAGGGGACCAACCCTCAGGCAAAGCCAGGAGGTTAGCCCCATGTTGAATGTACCCATGTTCCAATGAAAGGCTCAGTATGGAGTGAGCTGCCTGTCTCTGCTCCCTGCCTGTGCTGGGAGCACGGGGGCTCAGCTCAGATCAGCCTCCTGGCCTGGAGGCATTTAAATTTAGCTGGGATGAATTCAAGGGAAGAAAAGCATCACAGAAAATCTGGAGTATTGTGATCAATGAGTAGCATTTCATTTTTTCAATTTGTTCCTGTGTCCTGGAAAAAAAAAATAAAAGTTACAATTCCAGAACTTCAAAAAGGAATGAAATAATGCAGTAAGTTAAGGTGCGAAATTTGATCAGGAGATCAAATGCAGAAAGTTGCCAAAATTTCCTTATAAAGCTGAAAAAATGTTGGCAAGTCTTTCAAGAAAGTTTTGCTCAGGATAACAATGTACTTCTTGGAATGTTTTTTTTAAAGTTGTTTTTTGGTCATTGTTGAGAAACAAAAGGCTGACTTGTTAAAATATTCATCTATAGCTATGAATCCAAAGGGAAAGCAGATACTTCAGGAAACAGTGCAGTCCTAAAACTCGCCAAGGGAGATGAAGTTTGGCTACGAATGGGAAATGGAGCTCTCCATGGGGACCATCAACGTTTCTCCACCTTTGCTGGGTTTCTTCTTTTTGAAACTAAGTAAAAAGAGGAAACAACCCAATAGATGTTTATCTGAAGAAACATCTTTTTTGGAACTGGTATGTTTCACTGGACCGTGAAATAACATTATAACATTGGAGGATCAAGAAGTCTTGTTTTGATGCAATGTGCTGCTACTTGTGTATCAGAGATGAATACATTGGGTAGCTGACACAGATTCACAGAGTATGTATTGTCATCTGGGTTGCACCTACTTAATCATTAAATGTTGCTATTGTTCTCTTCCCCAAAATTGAATGAAAAATAAAGGAAAATGAGTTTAAAGAATTTAAAGAGCAGTTTACATAAAGTAAATTTAATCTCTAAATATACTTTAGTTAAATATATGTCAGGAACTGAACAACTGATGCAAAATTTTTGCATCATTTATTCAGTTCTTCTTACATGTTCATTTTAAGTTTGCATCATGGAAACAGGCCTGAATGTATAACAAGCAGGCTCAGGTGAGACCAGATCTAAAGGAAGAAGTTTGTACTGGATTTGAATGAGCTCAAATCGAAGAAAAAATGTGAAAATATAGATGTCAAGGATTCAGGTTTATTGCATTCCCATTTCAAACCTCTGAAGATGTATCTGGTGTAATTTTCCACAGATTTTTAGCACATATTTATGCTTAGTCTCTCTCTCTTAGAAGAGTGTCAGTAGTTCTTGCCTTAGTAGCAGCTTGAAGCTAAGGTAATTTAGTTTGCAGTGTGAAGGGGATCAGGCAGGGGAACTGTAATGTTTCCCCCTAGCCTTAGAATTTTTAAAACCTGATGTAACCCAATGCTGGGTATCAAAGCAAAGGCATATACGCTAGAGAAATCAGGATACACCAACCGCACAGAGACACAGAGACTTTGTGGTGTTTGGAGCTCCTTCAGAAGGATGTACCTTATAATACTGTGTATTTACTTAACAGTGAAGTTGTTGAAACAGTTTTCCAAGCAGCCTTCCAAGAATCAGTATTTCAGGAAAAGCCATTGCAAAGCAGCAGCTAAGCCAGTTCAGTATTTAAACCGGTGAAAGCAAATGTTAGCTGGCTTAGTAGTTCTGGTCCCAATACACTGGGCCACTCTTCAGCATTCATGTCACTGGCTTTTCAAAATTCGGGCACCTGAAATTCTGTCTTGCTATTTTCAGTTGAATAAGCACCAAAATCAATACTGAAGTTTGAATGTAACTTTGTTCTGGCTCTCCACATAAAAGCTAATGAAATATGAATTCCTTTTTACAGACATTATATTTTAATCAAATATTACCTGCCATTAATGTATGAAAAGAAGGTGAGGCTAGGAAAATATTTATTTGAAATTATTTTATACTGAATACAGGTATCAGTAGCACAACAATAGAACAAATGAATCAAAATCTGCCCTATGAATTTGTATGTCTTTCTACACATTCCTAGCGTATGTAACCACATCTTACGAAAAAAAATGCATGTTGATACTTGATGATTATGATGTGATTTTTCAGTTTTTTGCATCAACCACTGAAAATATTAGCTTTAATGAAACTGTTGTCTGATGAGTTTTTATTATTTCTTTTTGAACTTGGGTCAGGTCTGCACCACATAGGTTTTCAAAACCTGAGACCACGTTATTTTGTTAAGCTTACTTTGTAAAACGTACATTTATCCAATAAAGATTAATGGTTACAAAGCTATACTGGTTTGTTCATACCTATATTTACCAAGGACATTACCATTTGGAGACAATAGAGAGACACTATTTTTAATATGCTTTTCCTAAGCATTGTTTTGCTGCTGAATGGAAGAAAGCCGGCACTAAGGATTAAAATATGTTTACTTTACACATGTATATATACATAAAGAGATATAGATATATATATACACATACATATATACATACACATATATATATGTGTATATAAACACACACACATAAATTTTAAATTTTAAATCTGTAAGGTTTCCTTTGGGGTCTTACTCTTCCTTTGTGACATGGCCATTTTAAGCCATTTTGGCCAGAATGAAGCACTTAGAAAGCGTATGGCATACTCTAATTTTAAGCTTCTTATTATCTTATTATCTACTGTAATCGCCATAATATAAAAGAAAGCAATGTTTTGCCATACCCATTTTGTGCTGTTTTCATGAGTTTTGCTGAACTTGGCCTGCTAAGAGGGGACTAAGTGACAAAGAATTACCACAAAAGCTTCTCTGAAAAACAAAGAGCTGTTCCGAAGTTAAAGCTAAATAATTTTTTATATCAAGATTAAAACTTTCTAGGTTTTGACTGAAATCTCAGCAGTCTTCTCTCTGCAAATTACTGCAATCTCTGCTGATTGAGTGTCATAATACTTTACAAATAAATAGTTAACTTACATATTAATTTCCTTCAAAAGAAGAAGGCAAATCCTTCAAAATACAGCAGCTGGTGTGTGTGGGGGTGTGTATGTGTGTTCTTCTTCTTTAAAATTAACAAGCTTTATATTCACTAAGTCATGTGGAGTACAAGATCTTTTTTCTCAGAAATGTTCATGAAGATTAGTCATCTTTCCATTGTTGCTGATAATTGAAAAACTCTTGCTTAACAGATGCTCAAGACAAAATATCTTCTGCCAGAGACTTTCATCCTCTGTTACAAAATACATGGTGTCTTGTCATTTGTGTTAGAACAGAAAAACTTTATGGAAACTGCAAAGGTGTAATTTGGAGTACACTTAATGGCTTCTTGTCTTTGCTAAGATGAGTCTGTACCTCTCTCCCTCCCTGAGCTCCCAGATTTAACCAAAACTTGGCCAGACCCACAAGTCCCTGCCTGCAATGAGTGGTTTAGTAGGTGATATTCGACCTCTGTGGAAGGCGCTGGCATCCTGGCAGCAGAAAATGCTTCTCAACACACTGCCAAGTTGAGCTCTACTCTGTGTGAAACACCACCCCCAAATCCTAGCCCCCCCTTCCTCCAGAGTCCCAGAGACTGCTGTCCTTGCCTGTGACATCTTTGCAAGGCAGCAACTCTCATCTCCAGCTCTGTCACAAGCATTAATTTCTGCATTGTGCAAAACAGGGCTGTGTGTGACTCTGATTCTGGGTGCGCCCCCTTGGCAGGGGTAAAACACAACTTCCATGCAAGACAAACATGAACTAGAACAAAACCAAACTGGGGGGAAAATGTTACAGGTCTGGGTCCCGGTTTCACAAGTTTAAAGGAAAGAGAAATAGTTTTAATTAGAACTCTGTGAGAAAATAAAGAATTTTATGGTTTTACTTTCAAGTTAGTCCATGGCCTGACTGACTGAAGAGCAGTTTAGACTGACAATAGTTTGCAGTCTCAGCCTTACTGAAAAGCCTGTATGCCAAAGGAAAATCTTTAAATAAAGTAGTATTTTTCTAAAGAGAGAAAAAAGAACAAACTTTACACTCAGATCTTCCGTCTTCCCCTCTCTTTCACTGAACTTCCTACATTACAACCTGCTGTTTCCTGAAGCAGTTTTTAATAAAGGTGGCTTTGAATCAAAAATTTTTTTGCCTCCTTCTGTTCAGGTTATTAAAATGATTCTTTTGTGCTCAGAACAAAAAAAAGAAAATACCACAGGGACAAAACATGCAGGGTGTCGTTGAGTGGTGTGTGAAAAGACCCACAGTTCTTAATTTTGGAGAATAAGTTGCAAAGTTCCTCTATTTTGTAGTTAGTTCTAACTAAGAACAAAGAAAATACAACCTGCGTGATCAGACTTAAAAATCTGAGGCAACGAAAGGCTGTCATGCTCAGATACCAGTGAAGAAAGTCACAAACTCTAGACTATCCTCATAAATTAAAATAATTCAATAGAAGGTGCACTTCCTAATATGACCAGGTTCCCTCTTACACCAAAGGGCGAGAGCTCCTTTAGTTCTTGGGCCAAACCACACAGTTTTAAAAGGAATTAGAGCATCTGCAGACCCCCTTTAATTTCTAGTCTTCTGCCACTGGACTGATAAACTCAGTCCAGTTTATGCACAGATGTTGACATGAAGACTTAAGGACAACAGCTGGAGAGGCTCAGTTTTGTGCATCTGCATTTGGAATGGAGCAAACTATCCTGCATGAACACATTCACAGAATAATAAAACCCATGTAGGGCAAGGTTATATAAAACAAAGAGACTCCTTGTATTAATTGGTGAAAAATTGCACAAATAGAGGGCTATTCTGCTGCTTTTCTGGAAACAGTCCATCAGACGTGAAAAAAAATCCTCAAAAAGAAGTGTTTTAAAAGAATCACATTGCTATAACTTCGAGTGGAAACACCCATGTTTAAACTATCTTTGACATCTCAGCTTCTGTTTCCTGTGAATCTGTCTCATGGTGTGTTCCTCCCATCATCTAGTCACATGCTATTTCTTGGCTTTGTCCAGAAGGAAGTATAATATGCTTGCTGAATAAGGACTTGCCCGTATACTGGAATATGATAGGAATAAATGAACACACAGAACATCTTCATCCAGTAACTCCATCCAAATATACAGTTAACAAAGTGACTTTACTGTAGAAAATAGTGCACACTAATTCTAAGAAAGATCAGCAGAACAAAATTAACTGCAGCTACCTTAATTTTAGAATAGTTTCTGAGCGATTTTTTTTGTGGGGGTGGGGTGTGTTTGTTTGTTTGTTTTTGGTTATTTTTTTAATCCTGGCAGCTTTTTGACAGAAAAATGCTCCAGGCTCTTACAGCGTAGTAAAGATGATGAAGGTCAAGGGAATCTGCAAAGACTAGAATTTCAGGAATGGAAATTGGAGTTCAGAGATTGTGCAGTTCTGCCACGTGCAAGTTCTGGTCTGCAGCTAGAAGTGCTGGATGGAATTTAATTTGTCTACTGTTCATTTTTTAACTAGAACATAGTAGAAGTATGGGTGTTTTAAGGAAAATTTTTCAGATACTGCATGACTTCAGGTCAACATTTTCCTTCCTCCAAGACTACCTGCTCCACAGAATGCTTACTCTGTCAAATCATTAAAGACTCACAAAATAAGTAACATGTATTAGTTATATCATA